AGCTCCTTAACCCCGAACTCAAACTTTTTATCTTTTTTGGTCAAATCGTATAGAGGCTTGGCTATTATGGAAAAATCCTTTACGAATCTTCGAAAGTAGGAACACAAGCCCAGAAAGCTCTGCACTGAGTGAACCTTGGTCGGAATGGGAAAATTTTTTATCGCCTCAAGGCCTTTGTCATCTGCTCGAATACCATTTTCCGTGATGGTGTAACCCAAGTACTTCACTTCAGACTGGAGAAACTCACATTTGTCTAATCTCAACTCTAATTTATTATTTACTAATCTTCGGAAAACTTCTTGTAAAATCTTTAAATGTTCGTCTAACTCTTCGGTAGCTATCATTATGTCGTCTAGATATATTATCACCCTGTTATCTATGACCATGTCCGTGAAAATCTTGTTAACAAAACGCTGAAACGTTGACGGAGCATTTTTGAGGCCAAACGGCATGCGTAAAAATTCAAACTGACCTAAAGGTGTGATGAACGATGTAAACTTTACTGCATTTGAATGCATGAAAACGTGAAAGAAACCATTTTTCAAGTCCAATTTGGTAAAAAATTTCTTTTTGGCTAACCTATCTATTAAATCGTCAATCAACGGGATCGGATAATTATCCTTCGCTGTAACCTTATTAAGCGTTCGATAGTCAACATACATTCTTATGTCACCTGTCTTCTTTCGCACCAATACAATTGGTGATACGAATTCAGACTCACTCGGTTGTATATACTTTTTTTCTAAATATTCGTCTAACAACTTTTGTAATTCGATTTTCTCAGCGTATGACAATCGTCGCGGTGGGCAGTTGAACGGTTTCACATTATCTAAAGTCAACTTCATTTCGCACTTAACCTTTGGTTCAATGGGACGCTTTGATTCTAAATAATATTTGTCAAATAGTTTATTAAATTTTTGCTTATAAAAATGGTCTAAATTTTGACCAATCTTTATCGACAATTTTTCGTCTTCATCACTTGGCTCTAACATCAGTAGTTCATTTAATAAATTAACATTTTCGAGT